GTAGCTGGGGGATTAAGGAGAGACATTGGGAACAACTACAGTTTGGAATAAGATATAAAGTCAATAAGATATAAGTAAAAGTATTTTCAAGCACTAATGAAAGCCAGATTGAGGTCAAATAGAACAAATTTGTAGTGGACCTGGTTAACTTGGTTTCCTTATTTCCTCCAACATTATTCAGCCCGTCAGAAGTGGTACCTGAAATGGTGAATAGAGAAAGTTCTCTATCCTTTCAGAGCAACTAAAAGCCATTTTGCATTACTTAGAGATGCTCCTTTGGAAAATATCACCTTGAACATGTTTCACCTTAACAAGCCTTGTATTAAGTACATCTTCCACCACCCTACTACAGTCCTGTACCTAAGTTGAGAACTACATTCTTTATCTAGGCCTTATGACCTGGCAGCATCTGATTCCTAAGACATAGAGGAAGTCAAGTAAATAGTTTCTTCCCAACCACAAAAAGATATTCATGAAAAAATGGAATCAGTGTGCTGTTGCTAAAATAGTCCTAAAATGGTCAAGTACCTTTCAAACTGGACCATCTGACTGAAAGGCTTGGTCTCTCAAAATACATGAACATTTCATCCTTTCCCTTCCCTTATTTGAAATGCTTATCAGTTATCCCCTGATAAATTCTTCTTGAAAAAGAGCTTATAGTAGGACCCTCTATCAAATCCCATTCTTCAAATAGGCCACCAACATGTTTCCTTACCTTCTCAAACACTCTCTTGGGAGAATTTTCCTAGTGCTGATCACTTCACCCAGAAAGGATGGTATACTATAAGCTCTGTAACATGACCTCCCCATCCACTATAAATCTAACAATAATTAATCTTGATCTTTCCCCAACTTCATTCCCCGTGACTGGAATTCATTTCCCCTTTCCCACCCCCATCCTCATCACCACCTATTGAAATCCTTTAGGGCCTAGCTCAGGTTGTCACTTATTCCATGAACCTTTCTACGTTCTCCTAGCCTCATTGGTTGACTCCTTTTTGAACCTCTCCTTGAACTTCTCCTTACCCTAATCCAATTTATATTAAAGTTGGTTGTGCAATTCTTATCTCCCCCATTAGTTTGTTAGTTCCTTAAGGTTGGGACTTGTATCTTATTCATCTTTATTTCTCCCACAATACTTTAATTAAATGCTTCTCAGATTGGATTAAATAATTACTATCAGTGCTAAGAATAAGATAAGTTGTTGAATATTTTACTTCATTTCATCAGGTCATGGTATCATTAAATATTTACTTGAATTTTTCCCAAGAACTCATAGAGAGTTCATTAGTATAAGCATTTCTTACCCTTATGCCATTTAAATTTCTTTGTCATCTCATTAGATGTCTTCATCAATTTCAGTGACCAAAAATATTCATCACATGATGAAAATTCACCATTTGGTAGTGAGCTTCCATGTGGACTTAGCTATGTTGGGCCTAGTAAGAGAGAAGTGCATAGTCTATTGTCAAGCCCATGTTTCTAGGACCTACCAGAGTTTGTGCTCTGCTATCATAGCTTTTTATTTTTTTTTTTAAGGCAATTGGGGCTAAGTGACTTGCCCAGGGTCACACAGCTAATAAGTGGCAAGTGTTTGGTCTGAGGCTGGATTTGAACTCAGGTCCTCCTGACTTCAGGGCCAGTGCTCTATCCTAGCTGCCTCTTTCATAGCTTTTAAGAACCCAGAGTAACCTCTCTGCCAGGATGAGGGTATCAGAATAAGGCTTTAGTGAAAGGCCATGCATTTAATGTCATAAAAAATTAATATACTGAATACATTCTTGATAAGAAATGTCTTCTATAGTAATTTAACCCGTTAACAGAAGATTAGCAAATATATGACATGGGCCATTCAGTTCTTTTTGTTGTATTCTGCATTTAGTTGTCTATTGCTTTTGATGATTTTCCCTTACTATTCTGGCTAAGATCTCTCTTCCCTTGTAAACCAAATTCACTTTTTATTTGAAGAGAGCATATGGTGAAAGTTTATGTAGCCAGTTTCTTAGTTTTAATTCATTTGTGTCCTGAATAGAGCCTGTGTTATGAAAGTCACCTAACCTACAAAAAGACTTCTTATAGTTTAAAAAATGTGGCATACTAGCATGTCTCAAACAGGTGTGTGTTGTTTTTCCTGCCTACCATGAGTTGATGTTTTTATAACATCAGTCAAGGCAAGGTGCAGCCTCCCTTCTAAGCAGAAGTTGAGTTAGACTTTATCCCAGCTGACAGGATTTCAGTCTCAGTAATAAAACAAAAAATCAGTTCAAGGCTTCGTTAGCAGAAAAACATCAGCCACGTCCAAAATGCTGCTAACAGTAAGATTGGAATTTTACTTTATCTGAGTGTTGCGTAGTTGTCAGGACAGCTACATTCCATGGGGCCCCACACACTAACCAGGGCTTTGAATAGAACGTTCACAGCCGCCTATAAAAGCAGAAATGTCTATGCAAACAATAATTCCTTCCATTGATATTGAGTTTTACAGTTTTCAGAGTATTTTCACATGACCTCATTTCATTGGCTCTCCAAAATGTTCCCATGAGGAAGGCAAGGTAGATATTGTTGTCCCCATTTTGCAGACAAAGAAACAAGAAAGGAGGAGTAACTCACCAAAAATCATGAATAAGATGAGCAAGTGACAAAACCTGGGACCTGAACCTAGGTCTCTATGACCCCTTCCTGTTCAGGGTTCTTGCTAACTCAGCAGCTAGCTTTCTCCAGCTAAATTTATGCCTCTAATGCCCTTACCAGAGAGATTTCCCTGCTAAAAGATTTAAATGCTAGGTTATTTTTTAAACTATTATTGGAAGGTCAGCTATTCAGATATAGTTATCTTCAAAACTCTGATGACAGAACCTATGTATTCTCAAGTCAAAATATTCTGCAAATTTAATTTTTAATATTTTGAAATTTAGATATGCAGGCAGATAAAACAGTAGAATTTTACTTCAAGTAGAACTGAAGGGACCTATGGGTTCACCTACTCCAAGCGCCTTATTTTACACAAAAGGAAACTGAGGCTCAGACAGGGTTATATGACTTGCCCAAAACCGAACCCCTAATGGCAAAGCTACGACTGTAACCTAGAAGGTTGAATGGGAATTTTTATAACTTATCAGTTCAACCTCACTCTAGGAAACACTCATCATTTGCATTATGTGTACATGAATTTAACAATCTGCTTTATTATTCAAATATAAAATGAAGCTAAGCCAAAAATAGCTTCCTTTTTTTTTTTTTAACTTCCCTTAGATGGCTTGCTTTCCTGAAGGAAGGGTTTCTTGCTTTAAAAAAAAAAAGTATATATCACTTTATCCAAACCTAGAAATAAGAGTTTGTAATAGATTGAAAGTTTGGGGGAGTGGGGATGCATCCAAAATATTCATGCATAATTCAGATCCTTTGAAAAAGATTTCTAAACTATGTCGATTTCAACTGAATTCATTAATCATTTATTAGTCCTTTTCTATGTGCCAGACACTTTGCTAGGCATGGGAGATAAAAAGACAAAAATGAAAATAGTCCCTGCCCATAAGGAACTTTTATTTTTGCATTAGTCTATGTGGAAAGTTAGGTAGATGATCTGAACTTCCATTTTGCATTCAGATAACTAGTACTTTGAAGAAAGGTTGCTATTTTAGAGATGCAAGGCACAACTCTTGAGTTGAAATTGTAGCAAGAATGCAGGGAACAGCCTATTTTCACACCTTACCTCAGTGGGCTCCTTCCCCCCATGTTTAAAGGCAGATGGCATTAAATATTAGGATAAAGACTAAGTTGGTATGAAATTAAGGCTACTAGCAATGCTGCTCATGCTTCTCCATTTTGTATTTCTCAGACTTCAAAGTAGCTTTTAAAAAAAGGCGTGGGGGGCAGCTAGATGGTGCAGTGGATACAGCACTGGCCCTGAAGTCAGGAGGACCTGAGTTCAAATCCGGCCTCAGACCAAACACTTGGCACTTACTAGCTGTGTGACCCTGGGCAAGTCACTTAACCCCAATTGCCTTAAAAAAAAAAAAGGCTTGGGTTGGTTTTTATTACTGCCTGTCTAAAATCTGAAGCTAAAGGAGTACCTGGAGTGGAATTGGGATAAGGGTAGGGAAAGGGAGATGGAAGACGTGATTTTGTGGTTATTGCTTTTGTACCAATTCAGTTCTACTGATGCAATGAATACAGAGAAACACAGAATAAACTCAGAAACAAAAGGGCCCTGAATGGGTTACTCATTCTCAGTTAGAGTAAAGCTTTTATAATAGAAAGAAAACAGAATGTCACTCTCAGAAGTCTTTGGAATTGTAATTGTTAGTTACAATTGTCAGAATAAGAACTAGGTTTAGAGATTATTACTCAAGCCAGAAGGGATCACGGAGATCACTTATTCTGGTCTCATCGTTTGATAGATAAGGAAATAGCAGACTGCCAAAGTGAAGTGAGTTGCCCACGCTGGCATCTTCAGAACCATGAAGCCTTTCTCTGCTAGAGAAAGGAGTTTGTTCTCATTAATAGGGGTATCCTTCAATAAGGTTGGTGGTATCGCTTTAATACTATTAGAAATCCTGTCTGTTCTGTTCATCCTCAGCAGGTCCTCTGAGGTCATTTAGTCCTGCCTTGTCAATCCCCTCCTTTTATAGCTGAGGAGACCGAAGTACAGAGAGTTGAAACCCTTTACCTCCAGTCACACACAATTAGCAAGAGACAAGACTAGAATCTAGAAGCTCTGTCAGCATGAGGATGTGAGCTGGGACTTTTCAGAAGCAGATCTCTTTAAATTGAAATTTGAAACTGCCTTTACCCAGATTTGAAAGAGTATATTTAAGACCCATATTGTCACATTTTCAGTTTGTCAGAGCTCCCCAAAGAGAATTTGTAGCCATCAGAAATTGACTTCATAGTGAGAAAAGACTATTTCATGGCAAACCCGGTACAGTTTAAGATGTGTGGTACAGTTCTATGATTTCTTGGTTTATGAAACAGGTGAATTTCTATTCCCCTATTTTCAGATAGTGGCCAGAACTCTAGTTCCAGCAGCAAAGGTGAGCGTCTGAGTGCCAAATTACGATCGTTACCTGGGACAAATGAACCGTATGAAAGTAGCAGTAACAAAGAAATAGGTGAGTGCCATTGCTTCTGTTAGTGGACAAGGGCTAATGAAGAACACCTTGGGGACTTGGCATTTGTTTTAAATGTGGCAATGTGAAGAATTTTTTTTATGGATGGACACTTACGAGAAAAAAATTGAGAAAATTTGGTGTCCTGTTTCTGTTCACTATGAGTTTCATAATTTTGTTGATAACAAGAATTAGTTTGTGTTTGTTCATTTCAATATAATCCTTGTGAAATAGTTAAATAAATGTAATTTTATTCATAATAACATAGTCAGTGAAACATCTGTTTTGAACCGTAGACGCCTCATATGTGGATCCACTGGGCCCACAAACAGAAAGACCAAAAACTGCAGCCAAAAAAAGGATTGATGAGGATGACTTTGCTGATGAAGAATTAGGAGATGACTTGCTTCCTGAATAATATGTATTTTAATGTTATTTACTATAACAGATGCATCTCCTTACAAGAAAGCATTTATGTTAACTTTTTTTATAAAATACCTTACATTTAATTTTGTATACTGTCAAATTTGGTGAAATTCAAAACTTAAATAAAACTATTCCATAAATCAATGAGCCTCTTCATTAAGTCACATATGGGGGTGGAGGAGAGATGTTACTTCACTTTTCAAAATATCCATGATAAGGCCTTAATTAAGTTTAATTGCTAGGAGTCTGAAACTTAAAAAGCATTGAATGAGGATTATAACTTTGCTAAATCAGCATTTTAGAGATTCTCACATTGATGGGGAAAGACGTGCTCAATAGAAGGTCCACCACTGTGACCTGTAGTTTCTTAGAGTATTGTAGAATTTTAGAGTTGAAGAGACAAATAGAGATCTTTTAATCCAAACCTCTCATTCTACACAAGAGGAAATAGGGCATGGGAGATGAAGTAACTTGCCATTATCATAGCTAATTAGTGACAGAGCTGGGATTTGAACAAAGGGCTTCTCTCCACTACACCTAAAGTGTTAGACTGGCTGCCACCAGGCAGCATGTGTCCCACAACCCTCTTGAGTGAGGCCCAAACCAGAGTACAATGTAATTGAGACATACGTAACAAAATAAAGAAAAATACAAGAAAACACAGATATTACATTTTAAAACAAAATCATAAAATTTTCTTTGGATATAGTTTTATAAAAATGAATAATCATTACCTTGTTTATTAATTTTTGTTAGTATTGACTAGTATGGCTATGCTTGATCTTAAAAGAATTATTTCCTCCTCTCAAATACTAGTTATTATTGGTAATTTTGGAGGAGGCAGGAGGTGAGAGATAGGAGTAGGAGGTTAAGAAGGTAGTTTGCCCAACAATAATTTGATGATCTTGCCAAAAGGAAGCTCAGAGCTGGGTGGTAGAAATATGATCGATAGGAGGGAGGTCCAGCTTGGCACATATAGCAGAAGTCAGAGAAAAGTTTGAGGCACCTGGAAGGCAGAGTTCAGAACCTTACATACAAACACATGGGCAAAATAGCCAAACAATCCTAAAAGTGTTGCAGTTCACAAGCAAGCTCTTGTCTTTGCAAATTGAGATTCTCTTTCAGTGAAAGATGAAAAACATGTATTAATTATAAAGAACTTTGTGATATTTTTAGTATCTGAAGGGCTATTAGTAAAAAGTAGAAATGTCTATTTTCCTTTGCTTGGTAGCTGTTATGTTTACACTGTAAATTTTATAATTTTCGTTTGACCTTGTGGTGCACACTACCTTTTTGTATGCCCTCCATTTCTGTGCATCAGGGATGATCCTCCTGTACAGTGTTGAAGCATGTCAGGGCTAGGTGACCTTCACTTTTAATTCCAGGTTTCACTCATGTTAGCAAAGACCATGTCAATGGCAAGCATTTACTGGAGTTGATATGGAAACTAAGCAGATGAGAGACTTATTTCTAAGAAAGCAAGATAAGCCCAAAGTTGCAAGTGTGGGGCAGCCCTTCCTCTTTTCCTATTACTATTCTCCTCATGCCTCTTTCATACTATATGGAAAAGTCTGACATGCTTTGATAGAAATTCACTCCCTGTCAGTAGCCTGGTCAGAGAAAGCTTCCTACAACCTACACAAGTAAATTCTCTCCTCAAGTTTAGCCATGGATCTATGATTTTGATCCATGTACCCCTGAAATTCATTCTGTGTTCAAAAGTATGCAGGAAATGATATTTTGCTGCATTCATATTTGGTGAGTTTTTAGGTAAAAAAGGTTAAGAGAATGAAGAGTCTTTACTGCAAGTTAAATGAAGTAATAAAACAATAAATTTATATAGAAATATAAAATTTTAAATGATTTGTTTTTAAACTTATTTTAAGTTTTATTTTATGGGAAGAGTATACATCATGTCACATTCTAAGAGTGGTAAGAAAAGATCTGTACAAGAAGAACACAGAATTTTTCAGATAAAATGGGAGCTAGATTATTTTTTTCTGAAGCAAAAAATGAGATTTTTTTAATGGTTAATTTGTAGACAGAGTGTTAGTCTCCCCAAGGAATATAATTTAAAGCACCACTATGAAATGCATCATTCTGCAGTCTGATCAACACTTAGGTAAAGTAAGAGAAGATTAATGAACAAATTTGAAATCTGCACTTGAAAAATGATAAAAAGTATTTACAGAAATCCTTAAAGACAGCAAGAGTATGGTCAAAACTTGTCATATTATTTCAGAACACATAGCTAAAGGTGAATTTGTAAAGGAATGTATGGTGAAAGCCACTGAAATTCTTTGTCCCCACCAAAATTAAAACTTTTCAAAATACTTCATTGTCACAAAACGCTGTTGCAGAAAGAATTAATGAAATTGCCACTATCCATGGAAAACTTAAACCAGAAGTGAAAATTATCTTGGCTTTTTCAGTTGCAAAGTCCAGATGTCAGTGGACTGGCTTAATTAGTCATATTTATTCACACATGATAAAAAAAATCTTATTATGAGCCAAGAATTGCTTGATATTCTTTCTTAATGGCACTATAACAGGTAAAGATATTTTTAAGGAAGTCTGTGGACTTTTAGAAAAGTATAACCTTTAACTATCAAAACTAGTGTATAATAGGTCACAGATGGTACAGCAGCAATGACAGGGGAAACAAACGGATTGGGAGCTCAATTATTGGCCAAGCAGAATGAAATTGCCCCAATAGTAAGTTTCATCGTGTTCACTGCATTATACTCAAGGAAAGTAGTGAAAATGGAACATGAGCTGAAGTTTGTTAAGGAAACAGTGGGTTTTTATACATTCTTAAGGATTGGATCAACTATGGTTTCCTTCTTCATTATTCTTAGATGTCTGAAGAGCGAAGGAAGGTTCACCTTATTATACAGAAGTTTCTTCCTTCCTTGTCAGTATCCTATGCACTTTTGGCAACTTTGCCATGAAATCAAAATGTTTTTTAGTAATGAAAGGAGAGTCATAAGGACAACTTGATAATAATTAGAACTGGTTTCAAGATTTGACCTTCATTGTAGTAGATATCATGAGGCATTTAAATGAATTGAATTTAAAACTTTAGGGTCAAAATTAAGTTACAACAATGTATGACTGCATTAACATATTTAAGATAAAACTTGATCCCTGGGAAAGGAAACTAAAAAATTAGTTTTCTTATATGTAAAAAGTATCAAGAATGCTTTGGTTCTTGTAATTTCAGCAAGTATGCTTCTAAAATTTAGAAATTACTATTTGAATTTCAAAGATGATTTAAATGATGCAAAATGAGTGAAAACATTTTTTTTACTATTCAGTGCTCCATTTTCTTTTGATGTTGAGAGAACAAAAAGTGACATTCAAAAAGAACTTGTTGAAATTCAATACAAGATAGTGCTTTTAAAAAGTGTGTTAGTGTTCCAGATTTTTATTCTTACTTGCCAAGACATTTTGTTGAAATGTACATTTACTATAAGAATCTTAGCAATGTTTGGTAGTACATAGTTATGCAAGCAGTTGTTTTCATTCCCGAAGACTATTAAAATTTAATTTGGGACAAGATTTATTTTTTTTGGCTCGGATGATTGGGGTTAAGTGACTTGCCCAAGGTCACACAGCTTGTAAGTGTTTAGTGTCTGAGACCGTATTTGAACTCAGGTCCTCCTGACTCCAGGGCCAGTGCTCTATCCACTTCACCACCTAGCTGCCCCTCAGTCAACATTTCTTAAATGCCTACTATGTGCCAAGCACTGTGCAAATGAGTATTTATCACCCATACTTGAAAACTGCATACATATATGCATGTGTGTATACACACACACACAGACACACACACACATACACAGATAAAAGCTATGATAAAATAGTTTCTGGCAAAAGATATCAAGTTTCTTAGCCAAAAAAAAATATTAATTTTGAATATTCTTGTAGTGACATGTTTTGTAGTATTTTGAATCTATTCAACTTTAAAGCACAAAATTGTATGCTTTTCATCTATAACTAGTTCTTACCTGATTTGTATGCATGTATATAATAAATATATAAATACACATAAATAATGAAAGCAAATTGTCAAATTCATAATGACAATGCATTTCTTTTTTATACATCAATTATTTCTAATTCCTATTTGACTTTTTATATATACATTAATTAAAAAGAGGAAATATATAAACTTGTGATTTTCTAAGCCAGTATGCAGCCTACAGAGAGCCTCATGTAAGGTTCAGTAGCCTTTTTTTATTTGAGTTTGACAACACAGTCCTAATGACACTCGGCCCTAATGATTGATATTATAGTGGCCGGTGGGGGATGGGGGGAGAGCTAGACAGGGAGGGTTGATGGAGTGAAGCATTCATGGTTTAGAACCTCCACCTACTGGAGAGCAGTGAAGGGGAATGGCCAGAGTATTGGCCCTGTATGCAAAGGTTGGTGCTTGGTTGGTTCAGTCGTGTCCAGTTCTTTATTTCAGTGGTGTCCGATTCTTTGTGACCCATTTTGGGGTTTTTTGGGGAAATGGATAATGGATTTCTTTCTCTAGCTTATTTTACAGATGAGGAACTGGAGCAAACTGGGTTAAGTGGCTTGTCCAAGATCACACAGCTAGTTAAGTGTCTGAGGCCAGATTTGAACCCGTGAGGATGTATCTTCCTGACTCCAGGCCTAGCACTCTATCCACAATGCTACCTAGATGACTAGTATTCAGAGACCTAGGTTCAAATACTATCCCTGTTGCTTGTTCCCTATGTGACCTTAAACAAATATCAGTTTCCCCTCTAGCTCTAAATCCCACTCACTGGCATCTAGGCAGTATAGTAGATAAATTGCTGGACCTGAAGTCAGGAAGAACTAACTTCAAATGCAGCTCAGCCCTTAATAGCTGTGTGATCATAGGTAAGTCACTTAACTTCTATTTGCCTTTTTTTCCTTTCATCTATAGAAGAGAGGTGACAATAGTACATACCTCTCAGAGTTGTTGTGAGGATAAGATGGCATAGTATGTATAAAGTTCTTTTCTTTTTTTTGCAGCCAAAAACAAGGTTTATTGAAGATTCGCTATATTAGCCAGGCTCTTAAGGAATCTGAGCATTTGTGAAAAATCGTAGCAGTGGCTAGATTTTAAGAATCCTTTCCATTAAGA